CTGTAAGCCCTAAGTTTTAGGCTTTTAGGCTGACTGTCTGGGACGGGCCCTGTAGGGCCCGTGTGGCTACGCAGTATGCCACAACTGGATTCGAACTTGGGTCTGTATTTCAACAGTTCAAGGGTGTACCAATTCCACTAGGCCTGTTGGTGTCGTACCCTTTTTTCTTTTGTTCTGCCTGTAAAATCTTTGTTTTGCAGGAGCACAGGCCTTGCCCTCTCCCTCTCCAACCCGTAAGTTCTTGGGAATTGGTGAAGCAGATTTTGTATTGTAATTAAGTTATTACTAGGTATTAGCATTCCCCATGCGGGCAAAAAATTTCCGCACCAAGACAAAAATGAACCCAGACTACCTTTGTGATTGTAGGATTCAGATGTAATTCATCATAGGTTTGATGGCTGCAAAGAATGCCAAATTGTTAAGAGCCCAGAAAGTGGCAGAAAGTGGCAGAAAGTGGCAGAAACAGAGAACGAGCTTAGTAGCTACGTTGGTACACCCCCGAACTGAACTGTTGAAATACAGACCCCTAGTTCGAATCCAGATGCAATCAGATGCCCATAATAACATAAATGATAATTCTGAACTACCTGGGCCCAGTCAGCTTCAATGGTGATACCAAAAGGCCGTCGCCCTTTCGTTTTGAAAAAAAAAGGAGAGAGAATAGAAAACTCTGCGACGCAAATTCAACCCCAAAAAACAGATGATAAATTGAAGGAAGCATCGAGGACAACGAAAATAGTAGTTGGGCACTTTAACCGCTCAGCCATGCCATGGTTGAGCGGTTAAAGCGCCCAACTCATAATTGGAGAACTCGCAGGTTCGAATCCTGCTGGATGCATCAACGCAAGGAATGGATGGAGACATCAGTCACGTGACCTCGTTGTACTCACTTCTGCAGCTTCTCTGCAGCCCTGACCATGTCAACTAACATTGCTGGGACCGCAATGAGAGCTGTGGCTTGATTCATTTGGATTGCGGCGATGGCCTCCTCCGCTTTGAAACGGGAGACAAAGATATGCTGAGCACCTGCCATTACCATAGCATACGCTGACGACAACCCACCAATATGGCATAATGGAGCAGCATGAAAATACACCTGAAAGCAGAAGCATCACAACCGGAGCCTCCAGGGTAAGGACACATACATTGGGCTTGGAAAAGTAAGCAGACGAGCACTGGCAGCTTACCACAGACTCACAGAGCACATTATTCAGCACAGTCATGTGCAGAGTATCGAGGACAAAGAGATGTGGTCGGTGTGCAGATGGACCTCTCTGCGTTCCGACCAGGATGGAGAAACCGCACTGAGATCAGAGAGCCAAAAGCAAAAGGCAGAGCTCAAGTCAGAGTACAGATTGCACAGAACGGGGGTCGGGGAGTGTAGAGGCCACAGGACAGAGAATAAAGCAAAGTAGGCAAGAGCTCAAGTCAGATATACACTGACGGTCAGTAACCGACAGTGAATAGTTGAGGTCAGTCACCATCAGACTCGCGTCAGTGTATATAATACAAATGGGCGAGTGCAGAGATCAGAGTGGAGAGTAGAAGTACACAAGAGCACATAGAATACTAAGGGAAAAGTGCAAAGTAGGCAAAGCAGAGCACAAAAAAAGAAAAAGGAAAGAAAGGAAAACAAGAAAAGAGTACAAATTGTACAATACTTTTTTTTTTTTTTTTTTTAATACAATAGGAGCTAGGCGACTCATAGGATCAGGAGGCGGTGGATATTGGCTAGCTTAGGCAGGGGTGAGGGGTGGTACATCCTTCCCCAGGGAAGTAATCAATGCCGTCCACTGGGGCCTCTCAGCCATAATGGGGAGGAGCATACGTGTGTCTTTATTGTATTCATATTTGACTTGCCGGGAATAGGAACCGGACTGTTGCTCCCCAGAATGGCAGGAGCCAGAACCGAGAGGTTCTGTATAAAAAAAAAAGAAAAAAAAAAAGAAAAGAGTACAATACTACAAAATACTAAAATAGTTGAAAATTTGAAAGTACAACAAATGACATCCATCTGGTCTCCCCCCGATGACGAAATCAAGACGTTAAAAAACAGGGTGAGATGCTACCTGTGGACGGGAAATCCCAACAGGACCACATGTATCAAAAGGGTAGCCTGGAACCACATTACGCGGAAACCTCAGGAAGGGGGCCTTGGGGTAATCGACCCCAAACAGGAGTCCATAGCACTGCAGATGAAATGGATTATCAAGATCCTGATCAGACAATCCCTCCCGTGGACCCAGATGGCTCTAAACAGCATCAGAAACCTGGCGCCCGTAAACTCTCCCCCGAACATGAGAGGTATTTACTGGCTCATGGCGAAGGACTGGGCAATCAAATCAGGCAGATCTCGCAGGAGAAACCCTGCAGAGCCCATTACAACCCCCACTCAAACAGCCACCTCATACTGGAGTCTGACCACCAAAGCCTGATGCAAAATGATGCCAAGGAAACACGACTCACCAGGAAACAGAGAAGAGGTCCTGAAACAACCTCTCTTCTGCAACCCTTGGATCACCGACCCCAGTGGAGTGACATGGACACTACGCACAAAAGACCGAAGATGTCTATCCTGGGTGGAAAAAGGCGTGTGGCAGGTGAAACACATCTGGGCAGAGGACCAAGGACGATGGGCTACCGAACAGGAACTAAGAAATGTCTTAAAAGGCTGTCACTACCTAGCTGAAAACCTAACGTTGATCCAGAAGAGTATCCCAATACAATGGCTCTCCCTCCTAAGGGAGGACTTCTCGTGGAAATCCGGGGATCAGGGCATACTCATCTCTCAAACCCAGCCTACTAGAGCATATCGATTCATCTCTCGAACCAATCCACTCAGCTACCATTCTAAATTCTACTCATACCCCATCGCTAATCACAGCCTACAGGAGTTGGAAATCCAGAACAAAGATCCTCAGTGCGAGACACTAGAAACCTTCCGACCGAGAAAAGTTATTTCTAAGGCCAAACCCTGGAAAATCTTCCAACTTGACCTCAACATTTCAGACCTCGAATTCAACCTGAAAGAGTGGGTTTGGAAGCAGGGCAAAACCGGGAGAACGAGAACGATATCCGAATAGGATGTCAAATTCGGTTAAGAGCTGGGTCTACAAACCACGGATCTGGACCCCAGACTCAAAGGAAAGTGGAGGGAGATCCTGAATCTGGACCCCACAGACCCCATTTCCATCCCATGGACGAAGTACCTGTCTATAAGACCGGTCAGAATTTGAAGCATGCAATGGCTCTTGTCACACACATCGCTAATCAGTGACCGGTCAGAATTTGAAGCATGCAATGGCTCTTGTCACACACATCGCTAATCAGTGGCTCCATAAGAGGAGGACACAGACGGACCCAGACAGCTCTGAACTTTGCAGGCTTTGCACAGACAACACTCCAGAAGATATACCCCACTGCCTCCTGTACTGCACGGAAGCAGCATGGATATGGAACAAGGTGCACGGCCTTTGGTCCCTACTCTTCTCATCACCCCCTCCGCCCACAGCTCCCCTTAACATCCTGCTCCTCTCCAGCAGTACTAACAATCTCAAAGGCGGCAAGGAAGTTTGTTTTCATCTGCTCAGAAAGCTGGCCCTTTGGGTAATCTGGAAAAGGAGATGCGCCAAGACTATCGAAGGTACCGAGGTGGCAAGAGAAGAAGTGTGGGTTCAACTGCTGGGAATGGTTGAAACTGAGATTCGATCCAGATGGAGGGAGGTGACATCAGCAACAAAGGCAGACCAGAAAGGACAGCCATAAAGAGACGGGCGCTCATGAGAAACTGGCTTCTACAGGGAAAGATCGCAACCGTGATAGATAACAGATTGATTTGGAAGAAATGGGATAGCACACCGCCAACAAGGAGGGTGACCCAGTGGTGGGCAAACTGAGATTTTAATCTCATCAGTTTAGAGAACCTCAGACAACTCTCCTCTTTTCTTGCTTTATATGATCCAACCGACAGAGTCACATTAGATTATGAGAGGAAAAGTGGCAGGGCAAGCTGACAGTCAATCCTCCAGATATGGAGCAATCAATGCTGGTCAGGGTTCCTTCGCCCAGACGGAAGGAAGTGTGAGAGTGTTCACCATGTATCTCATTTTTGTCTTGCCGGTGGAAAGGAACTGGACTGACGCTCCCCAGAATGGACATGGAGCCAGGACCATATGGACCTGTTTCAATTAAACAAAAAAAAAAAAAAAAAAAAAAAAACCCCCTACAAAATTTACAAATGCATGCCGATAGGAAGCTGACAGTAAATCCTCCACAAAAAGGAGTAATCAATGCTGTGCAGGGGTCCTTCGGTCGGACGGAGGGAAGCGTGTGTGCATATGTTGTTGTATTCTCTTGACTTGCCAGTGGAAAAGGAACCGGACTGACGCTCAGCAGAATGGATATGGAGCCAGGACCATAAGGCCCTGAGCCAGCCAGCCAGCCAGCCAGCCAGCCAGCCAGCCAAGGGGTCCCGGGCGGCCCGGCTGGTTGGGTCCCCCGGTTTGACGCCGGGCGGGCCCAGCGCATTTTTGCGCGGGGGGGCGGGGAGGCCTTTTTCGATGTTTTTTCGCGCCTGGGAGCCTCCCCTTCCCCCCGCGCAAGTTCTTCCACCGACTGCACATTTGTTCGGGCAGCCTTCGAATTCGAACGTCGAGTTTGTTCTGCCCGTCGAAGTTGTCTCGTTGCTGCCCGCCGAAGAGTTTCCCGTCGCTGCCCGCCTTCGACGAGGTAGTTTCCCGTCGCTGCCCGCCTTCGCTGAGGTGCCTGTCGTTGATGCCCGTCGTCACGGCCCGCCGCCGCTGCCCGTCGTCGCTGCCCATTTCCCAGCTCGTCGTCACTGCCCGCCGTCGGCAAGCTGCCCCATCGTCGTCGATACGGTACCGTTGCGCGAAGTGCCACGTGTCAGGCTCCCTCTCTCTCTCTCTCTCTCTCTCTCTCTCTCTCTC